ATAAAATAATCGCTTATTGTTCTTTCATCTAACTTCTTTAGTTGTGGGTTATAAACCCTCACTACAGTTGGACATCCCCAAATGTGTAAATGGTTTAAACTAGGTTTTCATCCTTTCCATAACTCAAAAGGTGTCTTGGAGACAGCCTTGGATGGAACCCTATTTTAAATATACACAGCGGTTTTTAAGGCTTCACTCCATAAGGATAAAGGTAAACTTGATCTGCTAATCATGCTTCTTACCATGTCCATTAATGTCCGGTTCCTTCTTTCTGCCACACTATTTTGTTGTGGTGTTCCTGGCATGGTATATTGAGCAATTATACCTTCAGTTTCAAGGAACTCAGCAAATGAACCCTTAACTTGTCCCTTATCTGTGTACCTACCATAATATTCTCCACCCCTATCAGATCTTACAATTTTGATCTGAGCACCAGTTTGTTTCTCTACTTCTATTTTGTAAACTTTAAAAGCATCAAGTGCTTCTGATTTGTTAAACAGAAAATAGAGATACATATATCTTGAATAGTCATCAATAAACGAGATAAAATATTTCTTACATTCAAGCAACGGGTAGGAAAAGGTCCACAGATGTCTGTATGTATGATCTCAAGTAATTGAGAACTCCTTTTGGCACCTTTAGTTGATTTGTCGGTCTGCTTACCCTTTATGCAGTCTACACAAGTCCCAAAGTCAGAAAAATCAAGAGCTTTTAGAACTCCATCATTAACCAACCTTTTAACTCTATCAATAGAGATGTGTCCCAATCTTTTGTGCCAAATACTAGATGAGTTCTCATTGATAATACATCGCTTAGTGCCAATTTCTTTATCATGCAAAGTTAAAATACTGCATTCAAATGTGGGGTCTAGCTCAAGTTTATATAAATTTCCATTCAAATTTTCAAAACCAATAACTTTATTATCTTTCAAAAGTTTCACAGAAGGATAATGAAAATTCAGATCATATCCACTAATCGATAGTCTTGAAAGAGAAATTAAATTTCTAGAATATTCTGGAACATAAAAAGTATTTTTTAAATCTAAGTGAAAACCATCCTTCAAAATGAGCCTATAAGTCCCCACGCTTTCCACACGTGAACACGTCCTATTGCCAGAATAGACGTATTGTTCTCTTCCTATCAGTTTCCTCTGAGTTAGAAAGCCCTACATGATTTTGGCAATGTGAATTGTAGTACCAGAATCAATCCACCATGTATTATCAGAAACTTCAGTAAAATTAGATTCATAACATACAAAGGTAAAATTACCTTTCTTCTCAAGTCATTTCTTGTATTTCAAGCAAGCCTTCTTCCAGTGTCCCTTCTTCTTACAGAAACGACAAGCATCTTTGTCAAATGTGCTTTTCTTCTTCATGGGAACACTTTTGCCCTTCTTTGCATTTCTCTTACCATGAGTCACCATATTAACACTTTCAGGTATCTCATGCTTCAACCTCTCTTCTTCTTGAACACACATGGTCAAAAATTCATTGATTGACCATTTATCCTTATGTGTGTTGTAAGAAATCTTGAACAGACCATATTCCGCAAGAAGTGAGTTGAGAATGAAATGCACAAGAAATGGTTCAGACATATCAAACTCAAGGGACTTGAGTTTAGCAGCAATGTCTCTCATCTCCATAATGTGCTCACGCACTGTAGGACTTCTGTCGAAAGTCATACTTGAGAGCCTCTTCATAAGGATGCTAGCCAATGCCTTGTCAGAGCTTACAAATTATTCATCAATTGCCTTCATGTAAGCTTTGACCTTATCGCTATTAGGGATAGAACCCCTAATGCTTTGGCTTATGTGAGCTTTTATGAGCATTAAACTTAAGCGATTAGATCACTCCCACCGCTCATAATTAGCCTTAGCAGCTGGCGTACTTGATTCCGTGGGAATAGGTGGTTCATCCACACGGAGTGTCAGGTCTAGGTCCGAGCACCCTAAAGTGAGGACTTTCTCCTTCCATTCAGTATAATTGTCACCAGAAAACATTGGAATTCGAGCATTCTCATTAAAAATAGCAGTAGAAAAAGCTGTAAATACTAAAAAACAAGGATAAACATACATAAGCTAATGAAGTACAATCCATCAAAGGTGAACCGCGTAAAATACCGATTCTAAGTAAATTCTAGACCTTCCTGTGGGCAGAGGTTGCAACCCATACATAAAATTTACTTTACTTTATTAGACTAGTAAACCAAGATATACAAAAATTAATCCGTACCTGTGGGCATAAGATTATTTTCAACTTAAAGGTTTATTATCTCATTCCAATTAATCTCACCAAAATGGTTACCTCCCTGTAGGGCCGGGCTACCATTTTAATGAGATAATTGGACTATATAGATGTCATTATAAATTTTAATCACTAAACCTTATGTGATTAAATAACTTAATTTCTTTTATATTAAGTATTCGGGATGTTCTGGCTACTACCTAAATACGTAATATAAAAGACAACTCCTAATGACATCTTACAATGATTTGTGTAAATAATCAACTAAGCTAAATGTTGATTAGATTCAGAATGGGTATACATGTTACATAAGCATAATACTAATAGAATGCCAAACACAAAAGTAGTTCTTATAAATAATCTGAATACTATAAGAACCTCATAGCAAAATTATGAAAACATAATTTACAATCTAATGCAAAATTGGTTAGACAGTGCTTCGGAAATTAAGCCTTAATTGCTAGGTGACTTTACAAAAATATTTAAAAGGCTCCAAAGTTTTAATATGGCAGTAAGTTGATTCATGTCCCAAGAAACAAAGTTGAATTTTATGGCTCAAGATAATATAATAGCCCATTAGCAAAATAAATTCTAAACTCGATAATATTTTGAGAACCTTCTAATACCAATACCATAATCAATATGACACACCGAAACACATAATAAACACATACAAAATAAATCATGTTTTAATCATGACTTAACTGATACATATTCGCAAACCACAAAAATTTATAGAGTATTCCTATTCCTATCAAAATTGGGTCATGATCGATGGACAAAAATCAGATGGATCCATGCTTCCAATGCATCTCTATAATGCAGACTCACGAATTTGAAGATAGGAACAGTGTTTAAAAATTGTACTTATGAAACAGAAGCCATCCATTATCTAATTTACCGTCTGGATGAGAGACCTTCAAATTAAAATCAAGTTAATTCCTAATCCATCATGCAATAATTCAGATCAATTGCAACTATTATTGAACGATCTGGTACTGAACAAGACAGCTAAAGGCAGGTTCTGATACCACATGTTGAAATTCGAATACACATACAGAGCCAATGCAGCGGAAATTCTACAAGGAACATGCCTTCAGCCATAGTTGTTCAAGTGTTGTAGAATCGCCTTATAGAACTTTGACAGAAAACCTAGGAGCCTTCTAGTCTGCGCCTATCGTATGATGCCAGACTGATGGAGTCACAGACGTATTTATAGGTAGGCTAGGGACTCTTAGGCAAATACTTTAGCCCTAGGGACTTCTCCATAAATTATAATTACCCTAGGGACTCCTAATATATGATAATTTTTGTCCATCAAAGAAACTACCATGTATACCTAACTACAGAATATTATCTGATATATTATTTCCTTTGGGAGACAAGGTAAATAATTTATTACCTTATATGTGGGCCACACTAAAAGTCTCTGGAAGAGACGGCAATTTCTCACAATTGAATCACAATAATTTCTCAAACAACTGAAATTTGGGATTATTTTGACCAGTGTTTATTCTGAGATTTCAACCCTACTCATGATCTTATTTATGCCCCTCTTTGTTCATGTGTTATTTCAGTAAATAAGTTAACAATAACTTTATAAACCAAGATTGCTTCTTAACCACATGAAGCACTAAGCATGAGAGCATAGGCAGACTCTTCTCCTATGATATTATACCGTTCATCTATAGTAGAAAAAGGAGAAATGGACGAAATAAAAGAAATGGTTGTTCAAAATGCTTCTAATTGTGCATAGGCTCACATGAAGTAGTTTTTCTGGGGCAACTCAGAATTCTCCGGAAGTAATTAACTCGGCATAAACAAACAGTACAATAAACAGTAGATGCTTTACTTGTTTGAATGGTTGTTACTAAATGCATTACATCGTATTGTTACTTTAAATACGATGATTTAATTGTTACTTAAATTTTATTGTATCATATAGTTTAATCCGTCATTATGAAATAATAAAAAGTGTCATTTTATGTAACGATCGACTTAGTGCGATCGCACCGTTACCTTAATTTTCCCTCTCATCTTGCCCTACCTTACTATTGAATAATTATAATTTTATCATTTACCATATGTTATATAATAATTCTACCTCGTACCTTATTTTTCTTTGTAATATTGCAAATTTATTCTTCATATTATTGGTGTGTGATATCATGAAACGACGGAAAATAATACAATCTATCCAAATATTGTATGCACCAAAACAATATAATATAATATAATACATTATAATACGATATATTATGAAACGTTATTTAACAACGATCCAAACAATCTGTTAATAGTCTCAAGCAACTTAAATCAGGTCCTAACACCAATTGAAAGACCATATATTAAGGAGTAGGATACAACTGCTTCTGAAACCGTATAAAGATTTAGTACATTTTTATAACCACTATTGAAAGGCAAACTTTATATGCCAAACCACTTTTGGTCCCACAGACAATCTCATTCAGTTTTCTTGAGGTTATAAATGGAATTAAGTCATTAACTCATCAACAATCAAAATCAGCTGCATGATTCAAAAATCTGCAACAAGTATGCATATCGGCATCAATCTACAAACGGACGAGCACCGAAGAGACATCAAATACACATTCCAATTGTCAGCACCGCGACATATTATAATGATATTTTATGTAATTCTGCATTACCATATTAAGAGTTTCCATTGGGAGCTAATATACTAGAAACATGAACACTATAAAGCTTTGATGGTAGAGTCGGAAGGGCCAAACAGAATGAAGGTGACAAACCAACAAGACTATGGTCTTGCAAATCCAACTATAAGTTAACATTTCAATTAGGAGTAACATTCTTTTAGAGCATAAAAAGGATGGACTCCTAAAGAATTCAGCTCATTATCATGAATCATAGTTCTAGAGTACATGCAAGTAAGAAATGGCTTACCAATCAGAATCAGAAGCTAGATTACTGTTGCTGCCAATTGGACAATTCAATTATCGTTGACTTTACCTGTGGCCAAGAAATAAATAATAAGCATGTACTGAGGAAAGAAACGATGACAATGACTTGAACAACCAAGACAAAATGCAGGTAATATTGCATACATTTAGAAGCGTTACACATGCACCAGGGCCACTGATAACTGAGGAAGAATTCTAACAACGAATTGCAGGCAAGTGTGCCCCGATCCACCTCTATATGCTAGACTTGTTGCCAATGCTACTGTATTGAATGACTCTGTTGAACTCTAGTGATTCTTGATATGATATATCACTGGAAAGCACATAAAGCCGCCCATAAAAAAAACACAAATGGCGCGGGCCTGGGAGCTTGCAACTTTCTGAAGCCTTTCATCCATTCCCTAGTATGAATATCATAAACTTTGTCTTCCAAAGGGTAAATTAGTTCATCCTGATCATGCTGCTCATTACCAACAAAGTACTTTAAAGTCACAGGAAGTAATCCCACTTTTCAGGGGAAAAAAAGGCTGGCCATCTGCTCGTAGGACAAAACATAGTACAGACAGCAATTGTCACAAGCAAAGGCATATACAGTGATGTCTTCATTTTCTTTAAAAGAGATTAGTGCGGATGACCAATTCTTGTAATCAAGAGGCAATTCCTCAACAGGCAATTCCTCAAATGTCTCACTCTCTGTCTCTATTCTCTTTTCTCTACTTCCTACAACAACAATTTTCATATCATTCACCATAGAATCGAAAATAGAAAGATTGAATGGGCGTGAAGGAAGAAAGAAACTCCATATTTAATCTAGAACAAGGTTTAAGGAAATAGCGTCTATCAATTACTACTAGTTTTAGCGAACATCAGAAGACAATACAGAAACATGTTCCTATTCCATTGAGCGTGTCTATTCCAGAATTATTTTTCTAGTGACAATCAGAAATACAACACCGAAACACGTTTGGTATAACACATATGTTCACTCAAATTCAGAAGAAACAAACAGAGAAATAAGTGCGAGAGCAAACGGAACAGAAGCCGCTACAAAAACGGGTGAGGGAGAGATTTACAGTCTTCAGAAGGGTGAGACTGTGAGCTGTGAGAAAGAGACAGTTATTATCAATTTAAGCAATTTCTCTTATCCCAGACAGTTTTATCAATTACAGAGTTTTCAACTCCCTATTAATGATCTTCTTTTTTTATGTGCATGTTTCTATGAATAAATTAAGAAGAACTTTATAAACCTAGGTTGCTTCTTAGCCACATGAAGCACAGAGTATAAGCACATAGACAGATTCTTTCTCTTATGTTTTTCTATGTTTATATAGAAGAAAAAGAGAGATGGACGAAGTAAAAGAAGTGGAAATTACAAATTATACCTGTTGCAATAAGAAAGAGGATAATCACTTTTGGAGTAGTTTCCCGACATCTTTTGGCTTGTCAGTCTGATTTTGTGTGATGCAATAGATATATGCAAGTGCTCATGCAATTTATAGTGCAATGACTATAGGTAATCACGGATCTGCCGGAATTGCTTATGAGTTATGACAGTCAAATCCAGCCAGCATTGCCTATTAATGAAGAATGCCTAACATCTCCTTCTCCGCTGGCTTTATCATTGATAGCTCTTGGGAGAAGCCATCTTTTTAAGGAGATAACATGATTTATATGTCTGGACATTCGCCTATATGATTAAAATAAAATGATAAAACAATGATCCACGATAATTTATTTCATAAAGATTGTGTTAAGCAGCGATCTGGAGGAGCCTTTGCTAGATCCTTGTTCTTTTTCTGCAAAATCCAAGAGAGCCCACTGGTTTGAAATCAGATACTTTTACGATAAGCGCAATACAAAATCAGGAAGTTGGCAAAGATCTTTTGAGGTCAATGCTCCAGGTAGATGGTAAGAAGTCTTGTGGGCATTTGAGAAAACCAACATATACAAGTTTAGCAAACTTACGGGCTATGGGACAAACTCGATTACTCGACTAATGAGATATCTCTACCCTTTATGTTTTTTCTGCATAAAAGCTTAGCTTTTATTTGGTCATTTTATTAAGCAGTGCTATTTAGGCATACTCAAAAAGTTTTTCAGCAACAACGCAACTGTTGAGCATAGATGACTTATAGAGAGGTTAACAATAGCTTCACAGAGAACTAATAACAGCAGAGACTTTCCAAATTCAATAAGCATCAGGAGAGGAAAACCAGTGGAAATGGAAAAGAGAAGAAAATTTCAGAATTGCAAGTAGTAGTTTGTCTTTCTTCCTTGGTCTGTATAGACATTGACTGCCATCTTAAGTACAATAATCATGCCAAGCATTTATCAACAGCCATTGCCGATTGACGATATATTGGAAATATCCTACCAGCATATGACCCTTTGGCTAGTGTGCATTATTATGCCAGGCTGCCGCAAGGGGGGCTTGTTTACGTCTGTTCTTTATATAGCTTATATCACCAAGAAAAATGCAAGTTTTCTAAAAAGAAGATAATATGAGACAGCCTTAAGGTAGAGCTAGAAATACATGACACACAATTTATATCGTAAACACAAGAGCAATTTTAGCTAGTGTTGACCTTCAACTCAGATGATGCCATTAGTTGGCTCCTTGACAACTTGGGCAGACCGAAATGAGCTGCTAGTCTGAGCAGCTCCAATGAACTAGATCCATAACAGCTGCTGCAGTCATACAACTGGTATGCCCCTATTGGCTGCTGAAGACTAGATTCCCAAGGACAGCTGGCCCCATAATCTATTATATCTGCAAGACATCATTGAAGAGAGAATAAGATAGATCACAATTTATTTGGAAGAGAAACCACATCTTATTACAAAAATCTCCCCTGCCCCCTACTCTTTTGCCCGAGACAGAAGTGAAAAGGAGATTCCAAAATAATAGTGAATAAAAATCCTGGAGCAGTGATCTGTTTTCCTTATTTCATTTATCATTGGGCCAGGGAAGGGAGAAGTTAGACATATCTATAACAGCATGGGCGTCCAACAAATCATTACCCTCTAGATAGGAAAAATTAGAAGTTAAGATAATTACGATAAAAGCATGCTTCTCTTCCAAGCCAAATGATAATACTTGACAAATTGCTATTGCAATATCTCTGTATTCTCCATTTTAGGCGAGGAACGGATGCAAAATTCCAAAAGTACTTAAGTTTCTCTTTTCTCTTACTTAACAAAAATAACTTAGAAGCTTTATCACAATGAATCTAATACTTCAAGAACTCTAATGCTTAAGTTTTGTTTAGAATTCTATAAGATTGAATGATGAAATTCCCATGAAATATGAGATGCAATCCTCACACCGTGAAGACAGTGAAATTTAACAAGTTTGACTCTTTGAGTCCGCTGTGATTATGACACAGCAATCAGTCCAAGTAGGTATAAGACAACAAATTTTTGAAGCCAAGCAATTTGCATAAAAGGAAACCATTATTGCGGAGATTAAAAATCAAATGAAACAATTTTGAATCTAACACACTCAAAAGATAATACAATTTTAAGTTAGTACCCAAAATCATAAGGATTTTCATAGCTGAGCCTCGCCTTCAGTAAGGCCTCATATGCAGAATGAGTTTTAATAGTTTTAACTGATTAATAGGATTTGTTATGCTTTAATTGAACTTTGCTTTTAAAGAATCATTTCACCAGGCAAATGATGCTCAACAATGATATAATTAAGTAAAAGAAATGAATGATTATGCAATAACTATAAGAACAAAGTGGGTTAACAGGTACTACCTCAGAGGACACTTGAGAAATATGATAAGAAATTTCAGGCAAATAAATATAGAAAAATAAACAGGAAATCTACTAAGGAGCACATATGTGCTGGCAAATGGAACAATTACTGTCAAATGAAGAAAAATGCATTTAGGGTGAGTTAAAGAAAATGGAGAGCACTTAAGACTTGAAAAGGGACGTTAAACAAAGACAAGCAGTACTAGTAAGTCAGACCTACAATTAAGCGAAGAATTCATAATACAAAAAGGTTAAAGGTCACAAAACAAGATAGATTTAGATTCCAATAAGTAGGGAGCACCATTTTTTCGACAAGTCCACTAAAAAGGATTCAATACCAAAACCAAAAAAGGATAGAAGAAGAGAAATACAGAAGAAACTTTACCTGTTTTAACTTTTCTTACAGATGCTAAATCTCTTTGTCTTTTCTCCATACAAAGATGATGCTGATCAGAGGACATAGTCTCCCTACCATTCCTGCAGATATACGAGTTAAGGAGTGACAATTTCCCCAAAGGTCCAAACCAGTAGATAGCACATAAAGGCCTTCTAAGCACCTTAGTTTGCGAGTTAATTAGAACTTACATACCAGCTTTCTGTTTTGTAAGTGATGCTATATGCATAAACATGACCCGACCCCTTTGTCTAGCATATATCTTCACTTGCTAACATGAAGTCAGCAGAGAATACAGAATCCATACTGTTCTCAGTGCATTACTAGTCATTAGCTTCTCATATGACCTGATCTATAAGTTCACATAACGGAATAGTTAGTGCAACTTACAAACCTTTTCTACCAAATTTCTCTTTAAGCCAGGTATGGGATCGAATATTTGAATAAGCCCACATTCCTTATAAAATCAAGGAATAGCTTGCTGAACTTTTCTGGTAACACCTCATGAAACAAGAAGCTCATATGTTGCAGCAGAGCATGGTAATCATCCTGAATTGGTGTCGCGTACACTTAACCACAATTAGAAGCAGTATCAAACCCACACTTAATTTTCAAAGAGAACAGCTGGAACACAGAATTGTGATCACCACTACGACGGAAACTGTTAAGCATAACAGAATACATTTGTAAATCAACAGATATACCATGCGACAACATCATATGCAGAAAATCCTTCACATCATCCAGTAAGTTTCGTTTTTTATAAGGACCATATAGTAAGTTTCTTTTGCACAACCTATTAATTACAGCACTATAATCTCTAATGGAGATTTCAAAGCCCTTCTCGATCATCTTTTTGAACAGACCCACCGCCTTATTCACATCACCTTTTGCACAATGTGCTTTTATAAGAATGGTGTAATCACATTTCATCAGGCCAACATCACGATCTTCGAGAGAAGAAAATAGTTTCTCAGCATACTTTAGGTCTCCGTGTACACATAAACCATTAAGGAGAATGTTGTATGTGACACGACTTGGCAGAAGATTGTTGTCTATCATCTCATCATGTAATCGGATAGCACCTTTCATATCTCGAGCTTTGCAGAAACTTTGGATAATGGTGTTGTACGAAACTTCATCAGGCCAAGGACCTGTCGTTAACATATTCTTTAGTATCCGAACAGACTCATGCATCTGACTTGTTTTGCCGTGGCATTTCATTATCACTGTGCGAGTAACATGAGTTGGTTCCATGCCCCTTGCTTTCATTTCCGCTTGCAACTCTAAGATGGTTTGAATATTTCCTTCCTCACTATAGGCATCCATAAGAGTTGTGTACGTGACCTCTGTTGGTATCAACCCTTGTGCAACAATAGTGTCAAACAACTTCCTTGCATCATCTAGCTTTCTGGCTTTGCAGAACCCATATAATAAGGAGTTGAATGTGACTATGCTTGGCATTATTCCTTTCTCTTTTATTAGTTCGTATACCTGAAGAGCTTCACCAATGTCACCACATTTTGCATATCCGTCAATCATAATATTACCCAAAAGAACATCATCCATTAAGTCACAGTTTATTAAAGCATCAAAAAAAGCTCTCGCCTCACACATGTACCCTTTCTCACAGAAGCTTTTGAGAATAGATCTATGAGCAACAATATTTGGAAGAATTCTCTTATAGCACATATCTTTGTACAGTTGAAAAGCCAACTCTACCAATCCTTTCTTACAAAGGCCTTGTATGAGAATCGAGTACATGACAGTATCTGGTTTATGACCGCTGTTCTCCTCTCTCAACATAATACCCTCATCAACATTAACTGCCTTGCAATATCCACAGATCAACAATTTAAAAGTGACAATATCAGGATTTAAGCCTTTATGAAGCATTTCATTAATTAATGTCCAGACACCACTTGTCATACCAAGCAAACAAAATCCTTTGGCAAGGACGTTATAAGTCACCACATTAGGCTCTAAACCGTGTTTCTCCATATCACCTTTGAACTCCAAGGCTTCTTCCATTGCACCCGCCATGCTTAAACCATGAATAAGAATATTGTAACTATATACATTGAGATGCAATCCATACTTAAACATCATACAAAAGAATGACTTTGCAACATCTATGTAACCCATTTTACAGGAACTTGACATAAGAGTATTGAAAGACACAACACAAGGCCCAAACTCTCTACATTCAGTCCCTCGAAGAAACTCAACAGCTTCTTGCATCGAGAACTGTTTGCATAGGCCATCTATAAGAATGGAATTAGTATACTCACTCGGGTTTATCCCACTGGCTTTGATGTCATCGTAGACATCCCGGACGATATCAGTGTCCCTCAACTTATACAACAAATTATTATATAAAATTATCGAAGCCCGGATATTGAAATCTTTCATCTTTGCAAAAACAAAGAGAGCATCGAGAACCATCTGACATCGGGAATAAGCAGAAGCCAGCATATCCCAGACAACATGATTTGAATCCCATTTCTGAAAGCGACTCGAAAGCAGCTCACTTAGCAAAGAAGCTGAACCCAAGCCTGATGGAAATCAAAACAAATCTATATAAACAGCAAAAAACGAGCAAAGTAAGAAGTACTCCCTCTATCTCAATTTATGTGGCACATTTCCATTTTAGTCTGTCCTAAACTTTTCTATATTTAGAAATAATTTAACTTTAAAATTCTCATTCCATTTTAGTCTGTCCTAAACTTTTCTATATTTAGAAATAATTTAACTTTAAAATTCTCATTTTACCCTTAATGAGATGATTCGCCACACAGATATCTATGCTTGTTTCTAAACCACAAATTTCAAAAGTCTCTTTTATTCTTAAGTTTCGTACTCAGTCAACATATATCGCACAAAATGGCAGGGAGGGACTAACTACTTACAAAGGCTGACCCGTTGCTATGCTTAATTATTTTTTTTTATAACCGTGGTGTCTGGGCCACCTTGCGCACCTCGACTAATTCAACGGGATACATGCCACGTCCCACCAGCAACAGGTACCAGGCAACTCTATCCACCAAGCCTTGGATAGATGGGAAGAAATCACCTAGTATTTTTTGCCTCCGCTGGGATTTGAACCTGAGACCTCATGGTTCTCACCCACTTCATTGACCACTAGGCCACACCTGGGAGCTCAATAATTTAACTTCAAAGTTCCTAATTTACCCTTCTTCTTTTTTTGATGACCGAGAAATCCGTTTGGGACCGATCCTTTGGACCAACCGCAGTCTTCCAAACTCGATGGATAATGGGCCCGCCCCTCTACCCCTCTCCACTTAAATACCAAGCTTTGCTTTGTATGGTGTGGGGGCTTGAACCTGTGACCTAAGATACAAATGCACCACCCTTTGCCACTTGAGCTAGGCCCTGGGGGCCGTTCCTAATTTACCCTTAATGAGATTATTAATAGTCATACAAATATTTCACAAGTCTTTCTCTCTTTTTAACTCGGTGCTCATTCACGCAACATCACAGAAAAAGGGACGGAGGGAGCAACTACTTAAGACTGATACCTTTCTGTATTTAGAAATATTTTAGCTTTAAATTCCTATTTTACCATTAATGAGATGATTTTTTTTTATAACGAAGGTGTGGTGTCCGGCCAGCTTGCGCTCATCTCGACTATTCCACAAAATACCTAACTTCCCACCAGCACAAGAACTGGGTAACTCTGTCCACCAAAGCCTTAATGAGATGATAATAGCCACAAAATTACCTTTGACTTATTTTAAACTAGTTTCACTTTCTTTCTTAAAACATGTGATCGCTCAAACAACATCACATAAATTGGGACAGAGTGAGTAACTTCTTACATTATACTTATTAAAAAAAAAACTTTATTAATGACATAACAATGAACAAAATTTACCTTCTTCTTGAACCAAATTTTGCAAATGAAACTTCAAAGCTCTAAACCGCTGTTTTTTAGCCAAAACATGAGCAACAACAATGTGTGAAACTCTCGAATGCTTAAACCCATAATCATTTCTCAACAAGAAAAAGAACTCAAGGGCAGATTCAGAATTCTCAACACTCAGTTTCTCAACAATGTCTTCTATTTCTAATTCATTCAGGTCAAAGATTAAATTTTTAATACATGGGTCGCCTTTTAAAAGCTTCGCAGAGCCTTTAGTGCAATAAGTTTGGAAAAAATTGAGGATTTTTGAAAATGCAGTTCTCGTTGTGGTGGTTGGTGGTGGTTCAGGGTGGTCGACGGCGAGCGCGGCGGCGGAGAAAGAGGATTTAAGGAGCAGGAAGGAGTAGGGTAATTGAGGTTTAAGGGGATATTTGAGGATTAATCGAAGCATTAGGGAAAATGGAAATGGGAGATTTACAGGGTTTTGGGTTTTAGAGATATAAACAAAAGTAGAATTATTGGCTGTAAAAGAGACAATGGAAACGGTGCCGTATTCGTCGAATTTGTTTTTCGTTTTTAATTTTTTCCTTGAATGTAGAAGCAGTTTGAAAAGTCGGCAATTAGAAGTATATTTTAGGGGTCGTTTGGTTGGAAAGAAACTATCTCAGAATTAATTATTCTGAGATTAGTTATTTCATCTTTTCATGAGGATAAAAATATTATAATTTCGGAATAATTAATTCTGATATTAATTATATCGCACTTTTCTACCAACCAAATATTAGATAAACTTTTCTTAAATTTAATCACGAGATTAATTATTCCTTATCTTTTATACCAAACGAATCCTTAATTAGTTGTTTACAATTTCATGGAGGAATAAAATCTCAAGAAAATATTATTCCTTCAGTTTCAAAAAGAATCATTTCCGTTCGAAATATCTATGTTTAATACATTTTGTTTTTATTTGAATTCCAACACTTATTTCTTAATTTTTAGTGTAATAAAAGTTAAGTGCGTATTTAGAAACAAAATAAAAGAGTTGTAAATGTTAACTTTGTTATTGTATTGGGGAAATTTTATTTATATATATAAAGGTGACGTGTCAAGACACATGGATTGGTCAAATGGTCAAAGAATCATGATTAGTCACGAGTCAGGGATTACAACAAATACGAGCAAAGAAGGATGAAGAGGCACGAGACAACAGTTAAATAACACGGCGCCCGTACCTATTTAAGTCATTTATATCCGAGAATCAAAAGGAATGAATCTGGCCATATAAAAGAGTGTAGATGCGACATTTAATGGGCATTAAATACTGAATACGTTAGAGAATATATTTTCTATGTAATGATTGTGTAACGGAGCATTTAATTTCTTTAATCACTCATAATAGCCTCATTATAATTAGAATAAAACGGATATCTCTAAAACTAGCTATAAAAAGGAGATATACAATCAGTTGTAGACACGAAACATTGGGGAATAATATATTGATTTATTTTCTCTTGATTAATCATTTTGCTCTCTTTAATTACTTCTTTTCTCTACATTTTCTTGATTATTAGTAACCTGAGTTCTTCTAAGTTCTAGCTTTGACTAAAATTCCATTTTTTGGTTAAACAAATTGGTTCCATTACCGGAAATCTGATAATCAGTTATATCTTAACTCGAGTCTCTTTGTTGCGTCAACTATGTCGAACAACAATGACAACATCCAAGGAAACCAAGGAAACCAGACAAACCAACAACTTCAAGGAGATCTGCGAGATAATAATGCATTAGTTCCTTCTCCACAAGGTTCTCCACGACGATCTCGTGAAGGAACTCCTGAGGGATCTCACACAGATGGACAAGTTCAATTTGAAAATGCTGAAGCTATGGATGAAGCTTTACAAAAACTTATCGCTACTCAAGTCAACAAGCCTTTACAAGCTTTTGTTAGTCAACTACCTGCTGCTCCGCCCACACCTACTCCAAATAACAATACTATGGAGAATCCTCGTTCTGGATTGGTTAATTCAGGTAGCGGTGGAACCCCCAGTGAAACACAGGAGGGAGAACCAGGTAATCCAGTTAATTCTAATTTACAAAATCTAGTACTAACATTGCAGAAACAGCTCAAGGAGCAAAGTGATCGCATAGAGCAAATACCCGGGGTACCGCCCGTGATCAAAGGGGTAGATATGGATAAGTATTCTCAACAGCCCTGGAAGCCAAGTGCCGCCCCTCTCCCAATTCCAAAGAAGTTCAAAATGCCTGATATTCCAAAGTATGATGGGACAACAGACCCGCGAGATCACGTTACTGCATTTACAACAGGTATCAAGGGCAACGACCTGACTAAGCAGGAGATTGAATCAGTCTTGGTCAAAAAATTCGGTGAAACGCTCACTAAAGGAGCATTAACATGGTATTCTCTTTTACCTGAAAATTCTATAAATTCTTTTGCAGAGCTTGCAGATTCTTTTATCAAAGCACACTCGGGAGCTCAAAAGGTTGAAAAAAGAATGGAAGATATATTCAAGATCGAGCAAGGAGACTCAGAGTTGCTTAAAGAATTCGTGGACAAATTCCAACAGGAAAGAATGACATTGCCACGTGTACTTGACAATTGGGCAACCATAGCTTTTGCAAGCAATTTGAATGAGAAGAGTTCAGAAGCTACGAGGCGACTCAAGGAAAGCCTTCGATAATTCCCAGCAACAACGTGGAATGACGTTACAACAGATACAGTACGAAGATGAGGATTGAAGAATATATTATTTCACGACATAAAAAGGAAGAAAAGGTAAGCTCAAGGCGTGTAGAAAATGAAAAATGATCTGGTAAAAACAGGTACGAGCCATATATGGGACCTGCGGGAAGAGACTCACGATCGAAGCCAGACAATTAGAGGTACGATCATAGATCAAGGAATAAAGAATCAGGCTCGACCTCAAGATTTGGGAATGATCGAAACACACGCGGATCACGAGACGATGATGGAAGTCTAAAGGCAAAGTTTGGTGGTTACAATTTCAACATAAGCACTTCTGAACTCGTAGCTATTTTAAGAAGCATGGGAGATAAGGTACGATGGCCAAAGGAGATGAGATCAAATCCAAATAGGCGAAACCCCGATCATTGGTGTGAATTCCATAACGATCATGGACACAAAACAGCAGATTGCAGATTTTTGCAAGGAGAAGTTGATCATTTCTTAAAGCAAGGGTATCTCACTGAGTTATTTAGTGAGAAAAGTAAACAGGCATATATGAAAAACAGGCAGGAGCCACCAAAACCACCTTCTCCCAAAAGAACAGTTAACGTTATAAGCGGGGGCGAAGACATCAATGCTGTATCATATACCGCAACTAACAAAATTTCAAAGTTACAATTACCCACGGGAAGCGACTGCAGCATGTGTTAGAAGAAGAAAATATTACGTTTGATGAATGCTGAGGGTTTATTAACTCCACATAACAACGCACTGGTAATATCTTTACTCGTACATGATACTAACGTCAAACAAGTTTTAATTGATCCAGGTAGTTCCGTGAATATTATTTTGTTACGAGTGCTACGTGAGATGCAAGCAGAAGAGAAATTGGTGCCAAAAGCGCATACTTTATCAGGTTTCGACAATTTTAGTGTGGTAACAAAAGGGGAAGTGATGCTTACTACATTTGCGGAAGGTGTTGTCAAGGATACAAAATTTCAAGTAGTAGAAATGGAAATGGCTTACAATATAATTCTTGGTAGGCCATGGATCCACGACATGGATGTTGTTCCATCAACTTTGCATCGAGTTATTAAATTTCCAGCACCATGGGGAATATGTCAAATCAGGGGAGACCAACAAACATCCAGGAGTATCAACTCCGTGTTGAATTCAAATGAGAAAGGTGAAGAGAAATAGCAATTACAGAGTCCAGTTGAGGATAACATAACATCAACCTCGATTCAGGGCAAATAAACATGGATCCAAGACCTGATTTCATTCAAGAGCCAGAAGAAAATGAAAACATCAAAACTACAATAGAAGAGCTGGAAGCAGTGGTTTTATTTGTACATTGGCCAGAAAGAAAAGTATACATAGGCGCCAATCTTCGCCCAGAGATGAAACGTAAGTTGATTGAATTTTTAAAAGCTAACGATTGTTTTGCTTGGTCCCATTCTGATATGACAGGTATACCACCGGAGGTAATGACTCACAAATTGAATGAAGATCCATCTCTCCCACCTGTCAAACATAAGAAAAGAAAGCAAGGCGCTTTCAAAAATCAGGTGATTCAGGATGAGGCGAACAAATTATTAAAAAATGGGTCTATTCGGGAGGTAAAGTATCCTGAATGGCTAGCTAACACTGTCGTGGTACCTAAAAAGAATGGTAAATGGCGAGTTTGTGTAGATTATACAGATCTTAACAAAGCTCGTCCTAAAGATTCTTTTCCATTACCTCATATAGATCAACTAATTGATGCTACTACAGGGCACAAATTGTTAAGTTTTTTAGATGCATATTCAGGTTATAATCAGATTAAAATGGATCCAGATGGTGAAGAAAAAACATCATTCATAACAGACGGAGGGACTTATTGTTATAAGGTAATGCCTTTTGGTTTAAAGAATGTAGGAGCAACGTATCAAAGGTTAGTTACCAAAATGTTTCAAGAACATTTGGGAAAAACTATGGAGGTTTATATAGATGATATGCTCGTTAAAACACAACATACGGTAGACCATATATCGCATCTGTCTGAAACGTTTAAGATTTTGCGAAAATTTAATATGAAATTAAACCCCGAAAAATGTGCATTTGGTGTTCCATCAGGTAAGTTTTTGGGTTTTCTTGTTTCTAACCGTGGTATTGAGGTAAATCCTGCACAGATTAAGGCCATTGAGGAAATCCCTGATGTACTTTCAAGTAAGAAAGAAGTTCAAAGACTAACAGGAAGGATTGCAGCTTTAGGAAGATTTATTTCTAAGTCATCAAAGAAATGCTTTAGATTCTTCTCAGCCCTTAAAAAGCAGGATCATTTCGAATGGAATGAAGAATGTCAACAAGCACTCAGATATTTGAAAGCATACTTGTCAAATCCACCTTTGCTCGCAAAACCAAAGGCTGGGGAAAGACTACTCATTTACCTTGCTGTTTCAGAAGTAGCGGTAAGTGTTGTTTTGGTTCGAGAAGAACAAGGTAAACAATCCCCTATCTATTATGTTAGTAAATCTCTGTTAGATGCGGAGACAAGGTATCCTCGGTTAGAAAAGTTTGCTCTTGCATTTATCATGGCATCTAGGAAATTGAGATCTTATTTTCAGTGTCATCCAATTGTTTTAGTTACCGCATATCCTTTACGAAATATATTACATAAGCATGAGTTATCAGGTAGGTTGGCTAAATGGGCTATAGGGTTAAGTGAATATGAAATCACATACCAACCTAGAACTGCTATAAAATCACAAGTATTAGCTGATTTCGTGGCTGATTTTA